TCATATTAACATGCAGGCCAGAGCACTCTCCAAAAAATTGTACGATTTGTTGTAAGTTTGACAACTCGACAGGTGAAGGATTTGCAAAAAGTGCAGCATCATCCGCATAAAAGGAACATCTCAGGTTCGCGGCCTTAGGAAGGACGGGCTGGCACTGACCATTTTGTGCCGCTCGGTCTATAATTCTTTGGAGTGGATCAATGGCGAGGATAAATAGTAATGGCAACAATGGGTCTCCTTGCCTGAGACCCCTCGCGTGTGGTATGTTGCGACTTGGTGCACCATTGACCAGTATCTTCGAGGATGATGATCTTAGAAGATCTGATATCCAATCGCGCCATTTGGCACTAAATCCCATTGCAGTAAACACTTCCAACAGGTACTGCCAACCCACCGAATCAAAAGCCTTAGAGATATCCAACTTGATGAATAGGGCTGGTTGTTTTTTCTTAGGAAGCAGCCGAATTACCCTGTGCATATAGGAAATTGTCGTGTATGCATCTCTGTTTGATGAACGCATTCTGCGCATGTGAGACTAGCTCATTCATGTGTGATGCCAAACGAGTCACCAAGATTTTTGTGATCACTTTGGTGAGGCTGTTGATGAGACTAATTGGCCTATAGTCTGATACGGTCGCTGGCTCTTATTTTTTAGGAAGCAGGACTATATTTGCTTCATTGAATGAGTGCATCTTTGATGTCTTATGGTCGTAGAAGCCCATTAATGCCTCGATTAGATCACTCTTGATTATGTAACAGCATTTCTTATAGAATAGACCAATATATCCATCCAGCCTAGGAGCCTTTTCTTATAGAATAGACCAATAAATTCCACATATTGCATATTATGACACCTACAGTTGCGGTGCTAAATACTTGCAATTTACACTATTCCTGATTGTAACTAATGAAATTAGTGTTATTTGTTTGTTTTTCATGAGCAGGAGAGCTTAACAGCTCTATTCAACCGTGAGCCAAACATGTGACACAGGAGACGACAGATATTCAGAACTTGGAAGGCAGTGTTGTTGTCAGGCAGGCAAACCTGGATGATGTACACCAGCAGCACGACGAGGCAGGTCAACAGGAAGGGAATGTGAAGGTGAAGTTGTAGCCCCTTTTGACACCCAGAAGGTGAAGAGGTTGAACCCCAGAACAGAAGCAGCTGTGAGCATGGTAGCTTGCATAACCACTGTGCTTGTTGACATAACACGAGCATTGTAGTGTTTCATTAGCTACAAGGATTAAGAAACACAAGATCCTGTTAAGCAATAATTGTGAGCTTGGTAAAGCACTAGTTTGAAGTTTTGTACAGTTATGATTTCTTCATATCTAGAACTTGACACAAGTAAGTTAGGTTCATTTCAGCTCTATAGACATTAAACCTAACGAAGAATTAATCATAAGGCAAATTGGATACATTTCAGATGTACTGTTTCCTAATATCAGGAATCTGAAACATGGATTTCATCACAAAAGAACACAGCTTAAGCACTGAATCTCAGACAACAAAGATCAGTCTTTACAAATGATAGATAAGTGAAGGCTGTGCAAGATGATCTAGACACAGTTGTTGTAAAAAAAAACTACAGAGTATATCCTTCAACAACAAACTCAAAGAAGATTCAAAAACTGTATTTTCCTGACCCAAAAGAAAAATTATTCATAAATATACAGAAGAGAGGCTTCATCCTTGCATAGAAAGCTTGCCAAATAGCATGTAACTGGTAAAATGGACAAACCCTATTCACTATTGCATTGAAAAATAAACATGTACAGAAAATAACCCACCAAATCTTGCAACACCAGCATCTAGATCATTGATCAGCGAGTGGATTCACCCAAAACCTTGTGAAAATCAAGTGGATTCTTATGAAAAAGGTAAATGAACAAAATACACAGCTTGAAACATTTACACATGAAAAGAACACAAATTAAAAGTTAAATAGGCAAATGTTGCATACTTGCAGAATATATAGATCAGCTAGAAGGAAAATGACAAAATGAGGAGGCAAATGGTTCAACACCAGCATATTGCATATGCTCAGAGCAGGAAAATGACAAAATGAGGAGGCAAATGGTTCAACACCAGCATATTGATATGTTGAGAACTACAATTGCAGTGCTCGATACATGCAATTTACACTATTGCTGATTGCAATTATGTAACTGAATGTTTTATTTGTTTGGTTTTCATCAACGACAGATCTTAATAGAAAAAGAGCACTTCAACAACCATGTAGTAGAAAATTAGGATCACATGGTTCAGTGTTATAGCAAAGAGCATGTCAGAGACATTGTCAGATTAGTGTACTTTTTTTTTTCAAAGACAAATAAGTGGTGCTGAACGTTGAACAATGGACTTTTCTCTCTAAGTCTGGATGTAGCAGATCAGGTCAGAGATGTCAGCATCCGGATTGAAGGAAGCTCAAAATATAACTGAAACTGAATGTAGCTGACCCTTGATTCGTTTGCCATACGCATGCAGTCAATGGATGCGGAAGAAGTAGCCATGCTAGCAGAAAAGATGGACGAAAACATGTTGGCTTGGAATTTATCAAAGGTACTAGGGAAAAATTGCTCTTCTTTCATCTAGTTGCGCAATTTGTGGGAGCGGGGCTAAATAACTTTCTCTGTTTCTATTAGTTACAGTGATAGGAGAAAAGGAAAGCACAACTGCTATGTTGGACTGTTTCAAATGGATTATATAGGAGTATGTCTAAGAGTTGAGCCTACAACCTGCTATTGGATACAAGTTCTGGTTTCAGGCTACTAACTTTGACCAAGAACGACGTGAAATACAATACACTAAAAAGGACATTACAACATCAATTATAAGAAGAAACCACGCTTTAATTTCTGTAAATCAGGTCAGAGCGATTTTTTTGGTAAAACTACGGATCAAATGTCAAAAAATATTGCTTCGTCACGTCTCTATCCACAAACTGTGTTCCACTGGGAACTACAATTATTGCATCATCTCTGTAAATCTGCAGTGTCATACAATTTGATCAAAATAAAATAGCATATCACAAAATTTTCATTGGCATGTCACCAATGACTGACGAAGAGTAATTAACTACTTGTAGAAATTGGAACGCATTGACCCCAACACAAAGGTCAGAGTATAACCGCGACAAAGAAACTGAAATTAAACTGCTGCACCATTGTGTTCCTAATTGATAGAAAATGGATCAAGCATGTCTGAGTTCATACCAGCTCATAGTATACACAAGTTAAAATTAAGTTCACAGAAAAACGCACTCGCAGGTCACAGAAACATGTTCACAACAACAACATGAAGAACACTTCAGCAAGTTCTGGGCCAACAACAAATGTAGGTTCAGTTGGTACTGTTCCAAGAACACATTCATACACACTGGCATTTTTAGTTGCTGAACACAAGCAGCCATTTTCAAACAAGCAAAGATGCACAGAGCGCATAGAACTTGCACAATTTCCCATTAAGTTTTCAGAAAAAGAAATAGTTAAGCTAGATATATAACACCTAATCTCATGACTGCAACATTCAGATGCCTTTATCTATTTGAGCTTTTGGATCAGCAAAGATCATCTATTTGAGATACGTTAAGATTATGAGCAGCAGGGCATTCAATTTTCAGAAAAAAAAACTCAGCGTGCCAAAGAAAATGAACTGAATGGAACTATACCAGCTCGCTGAAGACATAACAAACACTGACCCTTGAGGGTTGCCAATAATTGACAATTCATAAATGACGCAATATCAACCGAACTACAGAATTAGCTTATTGTTTAGAAAATGCTATTGGGGAAGGATAGTTCCTGACGATGGAAACGTGCAGCAACAGACCAACAGGCATAAGCATGGCATAGCTCGAAGCTTTGAACAATACGAATATCTGAAAGGCGGAAAGGAAAATAAATGGTACTGGACAATCTACAGAGATGGAGGGAAGAGCAACAAAGGAAGACTTGAACTAGCATATGCAGTCAAACCATAGTGTGTTCCTCAAAAGTCAACCACATCCTATAATAATCAATTAATCATGACAAGAATGGAGCATGACAAGAGCATGCCAAAAACCAAAGGAGGCTCAACAACTAACACCAAATCTAGCCCAATCTTGAGACAAGTATCGTACTACAAATATCTGTTTCTGTAGATACAGAAAATCAGTTAAAAACAAAACACAAGAACACATCTCTGTTTAGCAGATCGATACTCCCTAATCCAAACATAGCATCCACCAATCCAATCTGCCTGTCTGATTTAGCATACCAATACTCACTAATCCAAACATAGCATTCAGTGTTTGATTTCTGTCTGTCTGTTTTAGCAAACCAACCATAGAATTCACCAATCGAAAGCCAAGGCCAGTGGGCCACGGGCATACACAGATAGCAGTATATGAGAAAAATAGTGGTGGTGTTTCTGGAGGCACTGCGACAGCATTGCACCAAGGCATATTGCAAGATTGGGTTCCCCTTAGGATAGGTCATTCGAACTTGTGACACAGGGATCAACAGTAACACAACAAGTGCATTGAGTAACAGAAGATACCAGAGACGGAATATCATTCCTGATAACCAAGATGCTAGTGGTTCATAACTACATACTTGATAATTGATGCATCAGAGACTAGATACTTATATACAACACAAAAGCAAACACTACAGGATAGTAGACATGATTGTTCATACCCAAAAGACACTACTAGACCAGTAGATCATATAGACACGGTTGCTACTTAATTACACATCAGGAAGACTAGATACAATATAGCAGCATGAGCACTAAACACACTAGAATACTAGCATATATTTGTACATATATATCAGTAATATATAACAACTGGCCTGGTACTTTTAGCCAATTTCTAGCTAGATTGGTCGTGCATATGTTATATGTATAGTAGTTGGGTCACACCACACCTCATAGATTTGATTTGAAGTGGAGGCAGCGGCACAAAAAGAGCTCAACCTCCTGTCGTGAACATGTGATGGCCATCAGACGATGATCAGAGGCGGGCCCTGGCGTCGTTTCCGCGGCGTCTGGCAGCTCTGGCCACCTGAACCTGAACGGCAGCCGCGACGTCGCGAGGCAGCAGATCCGGCCACGCCTCCATGGATGTCTCGAAGAGCACCTGGTTGCGGTATTTGCGAAGGCGCCTGCCGCCGGCAGCTACCTTGGCAGCGGCCTTCATGAACTTTTTCTTCAGCTTGGACACCTTATCGGAAAGCTCTGTGGCATCCACGCCACGGCGAAGGAGCCCGCCGTCGTCGCAGATCTTCTTGAGAAGCACCGAGGCCTGGGGGGGCACGCCCAAGTTGTCCCTGCGGAGCTCGGCCAGGGTGGAGAGGACCTTGCGCTCGTCGTCGGTGTCCCACTTTCGGTACTTCCTCTTGGGCCGGCTGGTGGCCTCGTCATCGTCGCCGTCGCCGCCACCACTGGAGGGAAGGGCTGGGACGACGCCGCCTGGTGCGCGGACGGACAAAACAGAGCACGGCGACGGGCACTGGTGCGGCGGCGCCGCCGTCGTCCGCCGGCTCGTGGTCGTGGCCACGTGTCTGCTTCCGTTGGCGAATGAAGCTGCGGTGACGGCGGTTGGCGAATGTATGGGCACGGCGGAGGGCGCCGGCGAGGGCGGACGCTGGTGCCGTGGCGCGCTCCTCTGCCCACCCCTGGCCTCGTCGCCGCCACGGCTGGCGGATGAGTCTCGAACGATGACGACGGAGCTGGTGGAGAAGGTCGCCGAGGACAGGATGACGAGAGTGTTGGTAACAGATTGATCGGATCCAGAGGAGGACGAGGAGGAGATGGTGATGGCGGCGCACTGGCCGCGTGGGGAACGGAAGCAGGGGACGGTTGGTGCCATGGTGGAGATGGGTGACGCCAGAGGTAGGCGTCTGCTGCTTTGCTTCTATACTTTATAGAATCTGGGATTGGGAGGAGCAGGATCCCCACTGCGCGCGCGCCCGCGCTATTCTCCCGCCAACAAGCGCCGGCGGCGGTGCTGAAATTTTGGATCCTGGAATTCGAAGCGTCTGCTCGGCTGCTCGGCCGCCCCCAGACCCCGGCGCCCCCACCCAGACTCAGCCACTCTGCAGCAGCCAGCAGCAGCGGGTGAGACCCCTACTCCAGTAATCCCTAGCATGGATTTGACTTTTGAGCATTGGATTCGTGGATTTCCGTTGCAATTGTAACATTTGAAAATCCATATCTTAGTGTAGAGACGCTAGAATGGAAAGATACTGTGGTAAATTGGTAGCAAAGGTGTATCAAAGAGTAATACTGGAACTAAAAAGAGAGTCGGGTTGAGAAAAAAAACCCACCGATTGAACTTTATATGAGAGTTATATACTTACATTTCAATACATAATAATGTTATCTTGCTTTTTGAAAAACTAACATTTAAAAAAATATAGTATCGAGGATGCCGGTTCATGACATATATGGTTTTTTTTGTCACGTAAAAAGCACTTTGGTTGGTATTTTTCTAGCCTCAATGTTCTACCTATTGTGTGAGCCTTATATTAGTTATTAGCCCGATCACACCCTGTTTCTAGATCTGCCACTGGTCTCTACCATTTTTAAAAATAGTTTCCTTTCCACCAATTAAATAATACTTAGGCTCTTTTGCTAATAGAATTTTTTATACTATTTTAAGTTCCACTAGTACTAGTACTACATCAGCTGAGTGCAATTCTAATTTTAATTAAAATAATAGAATGTACAGTAAACCAATTTAACTGTCCCATAGGTCACTAGTAAAGTTCTGTCTGGAACACAACAAAAAATTCTTATTTTCTGTATTTATTATATGATTTATATAAAATTAATGTCTTCTAGAGAAGATTTAAATTCATTAGTCATTAATCATTATCTAGGGATGGGATCGATCCATCATCCATGGACTAGAGAGAGCTAGTACACCGTATCATTAATCATCCCACCAACTTCCAATTGTTTAATGCAACACGATATTTCGACTGTCCCAACACTCACAAAGTATTTTATTTATATTTTATTCTCACAAATGTATTGTGTCATTCTGTAAACCACAAGCCACCCACAAGAAAGAAGACACCAATACTCATCATAACTTAATACCTCGAGGCCTCCACCACTTTAATTCTACTAGTATAATGCATGCTGGGGCAGTACATAACCCGACAAAATCAAATAACTAAAAAGCATATATGTCAAGTTATTAAGCCTGAGATATATTTATGATTCACGCAAGAAGAGATCGCATGTTCTGGCTACATATTTCCACCAAGGCAGCCATTCTTACACCCAGCAACACCAAATCGGCAACCAAAAAGACAATGCAAAGACAAATACATCCACAAGAGCACACACCTTGGCAACAAAATGTCTTCAGCAGGTCTTCAAGCTCCCCCAAATTCATAAGCCTCCCGCAGAGCTGCCAATTGATAACTTTTGGATGTCTGCACTCATCTGTTTAGCCAGAACACACTTTAAGAAAGAGTTGGTGAATAGTTTCTGCTTCCCTGCAGCGTTTGAAAAGTCAAGTAATGAATCTTTGTGAAGATCAACACAAGCTTAAAGAAATATAATAACCCAAGAATTTACCTACGATCTATCTAACAAAATGCTCTCACTATGCTGCGAGTTATTGTGTATTCGAGCTAACACTTCACAACAAAAAAACACAGTAAGCTAAATAAGTGCTACTCCCTCCGTCCTGGAATATACCGTATTCTAGTATTCAAAATTTATCCTCAAATATAACGCATTCTAGAAGGAAGAAACCCATTTTGCATTAAATACTTTTCATTTATCAGTCAATCACTATAAATCGTGTTGATGATAGCATCTTATTAGGAAATAAAGTGATGGCACATGCGTCTTTTGTATTCTCTCTTAATCTGTCTTAAAATTTTTAGAATGTATTATATTACAGGACAGATGGAGTATATGGCATGCCACAGTTGCAAGACAGATGAACTGCTCCAAATAATAGTACCAATATTACCTAAATTCCAGTTTTCTTCAACACTCCTAATTCTGTAGCTTTAGAGAAGTTTGCAACCGGTGTTTTTTATAGTGATATAGATTAGATGCTATCAGCATTCTTAACGGTTTACAAGAGCCTGAAGAACTAATTGATTTAACATAAACTAATTTGCCTCATAAAAAGATTTATGGGTCTTTAAATAAGCCTAAGGACAGTAATACCATGAAACAAACCACGCTATCGGCTTGTCGTCGACGTTATAATTTTTTTACAAAATATCAAAGATTAACAAGTAATGACATAACTAGGGGAAATTTCTTACTGAATCTACTATCTTGTGCATTTGGCACGTTGAAACGGTTCCGTTTCTCGTGTGAATCTGGAGAATCGGCTCCAAACGAGTTTGTCGGAGAGAAGATCGGAACCGAAATGTTTCGGTGTTTCTTCGGTCACGCTCGAAACACCCTATCCAACAACCATGTGTTTTATGTAGTTTCAACACATGAATTTTTTTACACCATAGGATTAAGATCCAACAACCTCCACCCTTCTTCTACCTCCAGCCTCCACAGATCACACATCACAAATGATATATCACATATCACAATTTTTTTCTATGGGACAAAAAGATAAAGTCAGTGACCCGTCCCCTTCCTGCAGTTAAGCCTACCTGAACCTGAACTCCCTGCAGACCTTGGTGACACGCCATGTAGTCGGGCAACGGCCAGGCTACGGATGACGGCTTGCTGAGCTTCAGGACTCAGGAGTGCTGGCCATGTGGTGCAAGCAGAAGTCCGTGGCGAGCTGCCAGTGCTAGAGGAGAAGACTCTCGTCGAATGGCCTGTTCAGGCTCCAGCCAAGGGCGTCGAGCAGCCCCTCGCGGCCGAGAGTCCACTGGCCACGGCTATCGTTGAAGGACAAAAAAATCCATATGTTTTGTTTTACTAAAACACGTGTGTTGTATAATATTTCTGAAAAAAAATATGTATTGGTAGGAAAATATGACAGTTTTGCATTAGGAACCCTAAGTTATTTTCAAATTAATTAAGCCTTTCTTATATTTTCTTGCCTCTAACACTTTTACATTTGAACCCTTTCGTTCTCATTATTCTCCCCCTCGACTCCCTCCAGCTTTTCTCACGTACAGAAGGCATGGTCCGTCAAGTCGTCGCTCAGTCCTTTCGCCCAGCGTCACGATCGCGAATCCATGGATATAACAACAGAAATACTATACAACACACATGTATTTTAGCAAAACAAAACACATGGATTTTTTTTGTCCTTCAACGATAGCCGTGGCCAGTGGGCTCTCGGCCGCGAGGGGCTGCTCGACGCCCTTGGCTGGAGCCTGAACAGGCCATTCGACGAGAGTCTTCTCCTCTGGCACTGGTAGCTCGCCACGGACTTCTGCTTGCACCACATGCCCAGGACTCCTGAGTCCTGAAGCTCAGCAAGCCGTCATCCGTAGCCTGGCCGTTGCCCGACTACATGGCGTGTCACCAAGGTCTGCAGGGAGTTCAGGTTCAGGTAGGCTTAACTGCAGGAAGGGGACGGGTCACTGACTTTATCTTTTTGTCCTTCCATAAAAAAAAATTATGATCTGTGATATGTGATTTGTGATGTGTGATCTGTGGAGGCTGGAGGTAGAAGAAAGGTGGAGGTTGTTGGATCTTAATCCTATGGTGTAAAAAAATTCATGTGTTGAAACTACATAAAACACATGGTTGTTAGATAGACAGACTCATTTTTTTTATATACAATGAGTGAATAGCAGCAAAGCTGCAAAATCATTATGAAACCGAAATCAAGTCTAAAAATTGTAAAATAAAACTTTTGGGTTCTTTTCACATAATGCCTGAATAATATTTTCTCAAAAAATATTTGTATGAAAATCTGTAATATATTTTATAGGAATATATTGGCTTTATTTTCTCTGTAATCACTCAAGAAAAACCCATCACATGTCAAAGAGTACTATGGTCTACTCAACTACATTCTCCTCTTTTCAGAATCTGGATCCAGCCAGCTAGCCAAACGGTTCTGACAAATGATTCTGTTTCTCGAGAAACGTTTCTCCACAAAATTTGAAACTGAAACGTCTTTCCAAGAATCTAGAGCCCTACCAAACGAGCCCTAACATTTTTCTTCCATATCAGAAAGTTATGTACTAAATCGTTGCATAAAACACTACATTGCAAAATCATTCTGCACCTCAAGCACATCGTGATAAACAGGTTCATCTTCTGGTACAGTGTGCAACTCGTCTATTGCCCCTACTGCATTTCCACCGGCATCTGCAGCATCACAACCACAACGTAGTGGTGTACGCAGTAGTCACTAACAGTGCCAAGCCTCCCTTTGCATGGTCATTTTTTCTGTAAAAAAGGAAAATATTTACTTGTGGAACATGATGTTTAGAAGCCATATGGATATGGTCTGGCTGTGATTGTTACTTAGACATGATAAGTTGAAAATCAGATAAGAGCAATGAGTAACAGAAAATTACGAAAGAAATTATCTAGACAAAGTTTGTAAGTTATTTTCATTCCATTCTAAAACAGGACGTAGCTGAGGAGCAAACTAATTTCAATCCTGTTTACTGGAATTATATGCCCAAACCATCATTCACAGAAATCAGAAAAATCACAGTGGGATGGGATTTCACATACCAACAACCGGGGAGACAGATCTCGACTCCTCCAACCCTAGAAGTTCTAAAAACCTACAATCACATGCACCCATCAAATCAAACCCCTAGCAGTGAAACCCTAATGAAAATCACAAACGGCGGCAGGGTGCAGAGGGAGGATGATGCCCCGCTGTAGTCTCGCCTCGCCCGGTGGGCACCCCGCACAGACTCGCCCGGTAGTGGCGGCGACCTGCGCCTGCGGCCA